CACATACATTTTTGGAGCATTCCTTGGAGTTCTCGTGATAAAATTCGGACAAATTTTACATCTTTTGAAACTTCTACATTTTGGTAATTTCATCTAAACTAATCCAGCTATCAATAAAGTGGTCCGTAATAAGCTATTGAGAAATTAATACTCCGATTAATGAGACCAAAATTGATTTTTCGGCCATCTGTTTACGTACAGTTTTTCCTTCAAATTTGGACCATTCCTCATCTGTTTAAACTGCAGTACTTCAATAAGTGTTATTTACAGTATATAACACATTGTAGTACAGCAATTCAATGTATTAGTCTTGAACTTAGTATATACGTGTATAGTAATGCAATAAAATATTAAAATTGTAGAATATATGCAAAAGATTATATTTTTCAAAATTTCATATAGAATATAATGAGATCCATTCAACTGATATAATAATGGGAGAAGGATAAGAAATACAATCCTTAAAATCAATTAGTAATGAATATATTTTACAATAATAAAAATCGTAGTGAAATGCACTAATAAATGTGGTGTACGTCCGATTTTAACTCTGGATTTTTGAAAGTTCCAAGTGATTAAATATATTTCGACGTCTTCCTACAACTACAAAATTAAAGATAGAGATTATTCCTGAAATAAAATTCATTCTCCATAATTATTTCTTTAAGGTCATGTACATTTTTTTAAATTATAGACTTTTTCGCGCAATCTTGCGATAATGTGCAATATAAAAAATATAATATTTTTTTCTTTAAACTTTTGGTAGCGACAGTGCTAAATGTATTCGATAACATGACATAAACGCTATATTACTGTTCTTTTGTGTTTTCTAAATTTACAAAAATATAATTTGTTGTCTCTCACATCGTTAATATTCGCATTAGCGACAATTTGTTCACATTATTGCAATTAGGAGTACATGTGCTTTAAATGATGCCGCATAAAGTTTCTCGAAAACTCAAAAGTTTTCTATGAAAATATGCTCAAGATTCCGCATTTTCGAAAACACTCACGCGGCGTTTTCTCAAAATCAGCTAAAAATTGTGTCGTACGGATAATGCTAATTGCTATGTTTAAGGTGATGTACAATTAATTTTGGAGTATTTTTGTTGCTATTTTACAAAAATCTAATTATTTAAATATCACACTCCGTTTTTATTCATATTTGTGTTTTCAATCATTGTCAGAACAATTCTACCATATCATATTTACTTATTATTTTGTAAAAAAATAGATTGTAAATTTTTTGTTATAAATAAAAAAATATTTGTGTTCGTTACTGCACTTCTGAGTGTAAGACTTCAATTGACTGTCAATAAAGTTTTTCGGTAAATGAAAAGTTTTCGGTGGCAAATCTTCAAATTTCGCCTTTATAGTGACACTTAAATGCCATTTTCTTAGTAAAGGCTCAACATTTTTAAAAGATTTTTTTTGTTGGATGAGGTTTCACTCAAATCACTTTGTTCAATACAATTCATAATTCACGATGGTAGTCAAAGAACTAATTTCACATTGTTCTCTGCACGAATAGAGACATTCACATACGAGTAGCCATCTGTTGTGTTTTTCACGCGACAAATGAAATTGTGTGATCCGATAACATTTCTGTCAAAAAAAACTTTGTATGACTTCTGTTCCAACTCTCGTATACCACACAACACATTGTTTGTGTGTGTGTGTGTGTGTGGGTGGGTGTGTGTGGTGGGTGGGCTGGGTGGGTGGGTGTGCATGTGATGTCAATCCAAGTTTGTTTGTGATTATATGTATTTGTGCTGACTCGAGCGCCCCTAAGCACAAGCTCTAAGCAGCCCGCCGCACCCTCGAGTAGTAAGTGTCTTTGTGCATATTCTGCCCCTGCAATTGTGAAATACCGGCCGGAATTTCTATTTGAACGTTATCTTGGACAACTGAATCAAATTTCTCCAAGACAGCTTCATAATGAATGCATGCCCAAACTTGAAGGAGAGCGTTTTAACAATAGGATACTTGACAACTATGTCCAAACGGGGACATAGAACAAACCCATACTTGTGATAAAATGTTTCGTCTATTAAAATGTTTGCAGAGAGTAGAGTGAACTGTGATTTAACAATCACGTGACCAGTAGCGTTGAAATGTAAACTTACAATTGAGAAGCATTGCCTGGTCCACTAGTTTGGAATATAATTTGCTAAATAGTTTTTGTACCGGTTGTGACAACATTGATACAAAAACCCGTGTGTGCTGCTCTTAGATAGAAAAATTACCCCCCTCTCTCCCTCAGTACTTGTATTTAAACGCATTTACGAGAAAAATATACCATTCCGCACACCCACATGGCCCACGAGTCATGTCTCTTGCCACCTGCAGGGGGAAATAGCGAGTCTTTTCACCGGCTACGATGGCTTAATATCAGCATTACTGATGCCTCTGACACGACGAAGACCTGGAGGTTCCAAAAGTGTAATTCCGACGGTAGAAGGAATTTCGTCTCTGGTTAGATGCGTGGGTCGAGTTCAGCCATAGTCTGGAAGATAATTCTAGCTGCCGGCTGCTCTGATAGGTAGTTTTCCGCGGTTCCTCCGAGCAATGCCAGGCGAATACCGACAGAGTACACTAATAAGCCACGAGTCGCGCGCGATCCTTCCTTCCTCATCCGTGACCCCTCTCCTTCCTTCACCCGCATACTCACAGAACCACAGGCGGGGAACTAGAACGTCTCTCGGCTGGGGCGGTTTCCCATAGGACAGATGTTCGTAGGATGCCCAAAATGAAGTGAAGGTCAGCGCCAGATCCTTCATTCCGTCGGAGCAGAAACGCCTCCACCGGGATAAAACATGCACAACACTTGCGGGAAAATCGACCTTAACAGTTAACGCACCCGCAAACTCAATAATCAGTCGATCGAACCTTCTCGATTAATGGTCGTTCGTTTTGCAGAACTACGTGGGCCATCTAGTGGAGACAACCTACCGAGACGACAGCTTCAACATCCCCCCTGACAACACGCAAGCAACGCTCCAAGTGACGCGTCTGCAGATGGCGTGCGGAGCCGGCTACTCATCCTGCGTGCAGCGCGCCAGGCAGCTCCTGGAGCAACACCTCGATACCAGGTGAAGGTCACAACACATCGATGGTTTATTTCGAATCGGTTTGAAGGCAATACGCGGCCTGGCTTGCAAGTAATGGATGGACGGCGAGTACAGGAAATATATTTGACCGTGACAGCACCTTACCTGCGTCACACGAATGCATGGAGCGTCGCCTAACAATCAAGGAAATTTGTTTATTGTCGTTTTTTTATTTTTTTTCATTTATTCCTTGTTTTCTTTTAGATCAGTTTACACGTTCATATGTATTGTTGTATTACTACTAACTTAACCTATTTATATTATTGCTACTGCATAGAAGTAGGTTCCTCATGAGAGTACCTTCTGTTCACAATTGCTTGAAAAAATTTAGGAAGTAACCGAAAGGGTATCGGTTATTCTGGTTTGTGTGTTGTACGTTGAGGCTAAATTTTATTGTGTTAGTTGATCTATTGAGTTTATATTGGAGTAAAAGTTATTGGATAGACGTTATTGTAGTATTTGATAAGTGATTGAGTTCATATTTAATGCTGTATGCAGTTGTTGATTTGAAATCAAACATGAAGCGTTAGTCAAAGAACCTGTTCTGGACTACTTGTATTTTGTTTTCGTTGTATAGTGCGGCATTTGTCCAGATGAGGCATGCGTATAGCATTATGGGCCTTATAATTGTTTTATACAGTGTTATTGCATTTTAATGAAAATTTGAATTTTTATTCAGTATTGGTTTGAGTTGAATTAACCAGCGCAACTTGCGACGCAATCAAATCACTCGTGTCTCAGAGCGCTAGGCGATGATCGCTACTTCGACATGGATATCTTTCGTTGCCAGTGTTCTTCTGAAAAGGGCGCAGTGTAGAATGATCATTAAAACCTCTGCTGTCCCAAGTCCAGTGATTGAGCTCAATCGTGTGTAGATGCCAAAGTCACCCCCTAATGACTTATTAATTTCACGTTACATTGCTTTATATATTGGCTAATTTTAGGTGCAATATGTTAGTGTATAGTACACATTTTGGTGCTTTTTTCTTCCAATTTTGAGTTTTACTGCCTTTCTCGGTGCCTATTTAAAAACATTTTAGTGCCTTTTTAGGCACCTAAAACGTAAATTATCAGTACCTTAACATCCCGTGTCTCTTTATTACTGTGTATCCTGATGCGCTAAATGTCTTGTCTTCCTTGGGTGCGTTTTGGTGAGGCGTGCGATTTGTATTGCTCGCTGGTTCAGCGCGTAATGGGGGATATTTGTTACAGTTGTCACTAATTATATTAAATTTTCTCTCATGTTCATTAGCAAACACTGATCACCTTCTATCCTTTTACATGCCGAGAGGTTTGCAACACAAATAGAAGAACTGTCGAGAAGATAAAACTGAAAAGTTGAACAAACGTACTCATTGGAAAATATAAACTTCACCAAATTATTATTTTATATTGTTCAGCATGTATTCATAAATAACCTTCTTAATTTCAAAGTTTAATGCATCACTTTAATTATAATGACTTATATATAATGAATTATAATGAATTTTTTGTAAAGGGTCGCATGTTTCAATCAACTGGTAGACATAGGGTGTTTGTATACATACTCACTAATAGCAATGCATTCTCATTAAACTTTGAATTTAAAAACACCCAACACTCTGCTTGATGAAGGTCTCAACATAACCAAGCGACATAAAAAACAAGTTGCGTTCACAGCGCTCAGCGTAGGAGATAAGCGTTAATTCTACTAATTTTACGATTACTGTTAAAATATAATATTTCTAGTATAAAACAAGTTAATATTAACAAGCGACAACACATCTGAGGCCCACTAACTATGATTTTAATCTGAAGACAAGAACGTTAGATGAGTAGAAAGCTAAAATTCCTTTCTAAACGAAAGTTAGTTTTAAATAGACAGACTTTTTTTTTTTTTGAGTGAAGTGAATGTTGGGCCTGTTGGCAGCGCTGACGCCGTGTCGGCAGACGCGCAGAGCGTGGCGCTGTGCTACGGACTGAAGGGCGACAACGGCACCCTCTGGGACAAGCTGTGGCTGGAGTACGAGCAGGCGGCCGGAGACGCGGGGCGACGCGCGCTGCTCACCACGGCGCTGGGGTGCACCGACCACCAGGCCTCGCTCGAGAAGTGAGCCACTCCGCCCACCACACCGGCTGAGCGATCACTCGCGCAAGTTTTCTTCATACACGAGCATCCCAGTGAATAGCACGGCACGTTGAGATAATTAAGTTCAACTCCGAACGGCACGTACCAATTTACAATGCTGACAACAATCACTTCGTACTTTCAAAACAATCGTAGCATTTCTCGTGGCACGCTTTGGCGCGTTAAGTTCATGCCCACAGTTGGTACGCCCCTTTAAGCCGTGATGTAGCCAGAATGGAATATCAAGAAAACTTGCGCGTACAGTAGCACTGCCTCTGGCCGGGAGGTTCCAAGGTTCCACTGCCCACAGTGGCAGGAATTTAGACGCTAGATACACTCTAGCTTCATTCTAGCAATCGGTAATTTAGTGTGTAATTTCGTGGTTTCTCTGTTCAACACCAGGCGACTGTCGGAACAGTACCCTAACAAACGTGCCATGGACCGCGCGTGATCATTCCTTCCTCTTCCAAGTTCTATATTCATCTCTTACATACACACACTTACACTATCATGCACTAACGACACTTACACACATGTCGGGAGACCAGAGCTTAGAGCTTGGCCCGGGCGAGGCTGTACCCCACTGGAGGGAGATAGGAATGGGAAAAAACCGACGAGATGATTTATGTTAGATCTCACCATCAAGGAAAAGAACACCAATGACAAAAACATGCACTATACTAACGGCACTAATGTCCATAGCAATGCAAACATTTTTTTATTGGCCGTTTCAGCTTTTAGCATCAAGATGACCATATTTTCAATTACAAACGTAGATGTCAAGCTATAAGTATATTTTAAAGTAAAGTAAACGTAATATTGACAATTATAAATTTGGTCTATTTATTAATAATAAAGTATAATTAATTATTTTAAATCAATGAAGATTTTAGTTTTAAATAGCTTTAAAATAATATTATTACTACGTCGCACAACGCATCCTCAATGTGGAGATGAAGCATTTTTTGCGTAAGTTTAATCGAGTTAAATCTAAATTGACATTTTACTGAAGTTTATTTCACAGCGTGTGTGCAATTTTCATATTTTAATCGGGTCTCTCTACAGAGAGTTTGCAGTTGAAAATTTGGAAAACATTCAAAATTCTAATTTTTAAGAGGATGTAATTTTTAATTGGTATGTTTTTTTACCAATTATAGATTACAAAAAGTAACTATACTGTTATTTATAAACTCACAGAAAAAATTAAGTCTTTGATTCTATTATTTCTTTGATAACTTACTCTCTGAGAATAGAATTTCGTTCATTCATTAGGTTGAAAATATTTCTCAAATAATAACTTAGAAGGTACGTAAAAAATATTTCGATTTGTAAACCAGAGTAAATTAAATCCAATTTTTATTTTATAATGTTTGAACCATCCAGAGATGAGTACTTTAGAAAAGAGTAAGTCTCTACAAACGCGAAAAATGGCGCACGGCGGGAAATAAAATTTGTAAAGCAGGTACAACAGAATAATGATAGATGTTTTTGAGCAGTCAAAACATAAGTAAATGTATGCAAAAACTAGGATTTTTTTTCGAGATGGTCGTGCGACCTGTGCTGGACCACTTAAAACAGATAGACCCGGAGGCCACATTCAATTTAAGTTGTACAAATTGCTAAGTTCCAGCACTAAGTTTCGGCGAAACGTTCAAAATGTAGACGTAGAAAATCAAATATTTCAGTCGTTCTGTGAAACAAGTACCACTAACATTGTTATTAGTTTAGCATCTTTTATAATTCTGATATCTCTTAGGTTCATATCTCATATCAACTCCTTCAATAATTCTCGAGAGGTAAACGGAAAACTACAAACATTTTGTTAATAAAATACAACTTCAATAGATATCATTTGGCATTTATTAGTTAAATTAACTAAATCAAAATTAATAATATTCCGTTTGTTATAATTACTACTTATTCGCAATAAACTAATTCCATGTTTAATTTTTTGTAGAAAAATCGCCAATGCACAATTTTTGTTAAAAAAACAAATCACACTTATGCGCCGTGCAAATTTGGGTGCCGCAGCGAAGTGGTTACAGAGGCAACCACAAGCTACTGGTTCGAATTTCTGCTTGGACGTGCAGGAGAATAAAACTATTCATCAAAAAATTGAGTAAATTGAAAAGAATACAAAGACCAAATATCCATTTTCTTTGCTGACCACTACTCAAATACTACAGTGTGAAACGCACGGCACTCCGCTTACAAGAGTAGGTTTTGCAGACAAACATTTAGAAAGAATGCAATTTTGAATATATTTCATTGAAGATTGGAAAAGTGTCCGTTTCTACCACACTGAGATTAATATTTAGACCTATTCATCTTCAGATTTCCATAGATTTGATAAATTGAACACATTCATAAAGTGAAATAAATTTTCGGAATCAAAAGCATTGCAAACTTTCGTAAACTTCAGTACGGCGTTGATTATGGATCATCTCCTTCCATCCAGTAGCAAACTAAAAGTTGCTCAGTGTAGTAGGATTCTGTAACTCCCAGTGAGCGAAAGGTGATCCCGGCGCAGGTACTTGGGCTACTCGCTGGACGCGAGCAAGGTGCGCGGCCAGGAGGCCTCCTCCGTCTTCATGGCCGTCGTCGCCAACCCGGACGGGCTGCAGGCGGCGCTGGACTTCTTCAAGAACACGGACTACGACGTCCTCGACAAGGCGTAAGCAGCAGTCTATTTTCTCTTCTTTAAGTTTGGGTTTAGGGGCTTTTCGTCTACTATGGCTCAATGGAGAAGTCGCTTGCTTTTCACCACTGAGGTTCCGGGAACCTCATGTGAAATTTTCCCGACAAGACGAATTTAGCTAGTTTACAAGGGCTAGTCCAACCCCTGTGAATGGTCCCAAACCATACACCTCACGGCTGGGTAGTGACGCAGAGGCGCGTAGGAGGAGATGCTATCTGGCGGTCCTCTTGACAACTGACTCAGACGAGACATGACGTGACGGACTATATAAATTAATGGAGTATTACTCCAAAAAGCGCGAATCGCTCAACGATACTTTGCGTGCAACAATTTTTTTTTAAGTGATGTTCCAATTTCTAGATGATAGCAATGATGGAGAAGTGAAGAAAAGAGAGGGGAAATGGCAGAATGAGAGGAAGGGAAGCGGGAAAGCCTGACTTGAGCTTGCTTAATCCGCGTGGATTCGCGGACCCCAGCAGTGGAAGGCAGATGCACTCCTAACCCTTATGCCACGAATCCCCCCTCCCAGATGAAGCAGAAGAGTACATTTTGAAATGTGAGGTCAAATGATGTGTGCACCTATTCCACTAATTTGCCATTTTTTTCTTTAATAGATGGAGACATTCTAAATAAAACATATAAGCAAGTTTTTTCATTTGATCGCTGAGGCATAGATCACTCCTGGTGAGGGCGAATTAATGACTAAAACCGTGCATAGCTGTTAATGCCTGTAATTAAGTTGTGGGGAGAGGCCGGGGTAAAGCAAGCGGTGGTTGGTCTGCACCGAAGTTCACAGGGCATATGCAACTAAGTTCTAACGGGTTTGCTACATCTTATAGAAAAGTTGCAAACTCTTGCTATCAGAAAGCCCCAGCAATGACTGCGCGCACAGACACGACGACAATAGCGAGCGCTATCCGCACAAAATTATCGTGAGTATTAGAGGTTTAAAACCCCATAATATGCGTTGAAAACATTACTACATACTAATTGAAAGTGGCGTGGCCGACGCTGTAAATTTTTTTAATCGCTGCGATAAATATAGATTCTAAAAACGTGTCATTTTTTCTTTTTTTATAAATCCAAAATAATATTTGTCGAAGGGCGGAAATTCGGGAGGAATTCTGGAAAAGAAAATCCTCCCTCAGAGAACTAATCGCTAAATTGGCCTCTGCTCACATCAGTCACTCTCAACGAGAAAGAATTTTAAAAGTGCTCTTATGATGTTACCGGTTGGTAGCTTCGTAGTATAATGGAATTGGAAATCATGTAAATTATATCAAATCATGTTACTTCTAACTAGTGACCTGAGGGAGGCGCTAATGCATATTAAAACTGCCGATAAATCAATGACATTTAAGAAATATAACGGATAATAATACAATTTTCCTTTTTAGCCTTCCTGTATAAAATGTCATGACAATAGAGCTGCGAGCAGATCAATGCGTTGAACATTCGTTAGCAATGTAAATAATATTTTTGTCAAGACCATTAGATTGAAGTGTTTCATTTCCCAACTTATACCATCATTTAAAAAATACTTCATTGGCTTTAATACATGCTCATAGATCAAATAGAAATTTATAAACAAAAAAAATTTCACTATTAATTAACTGTAGATCTTTATGTTTCATAATTTTGATCATTTTAATTTATTAGTTACCTGAGATATAATAAATGTATTTACAAGCATTATATAGTTATCTCAGTAAAATGTCACACACTTCAAGAGCGTTTAGCGGTTTAAGAAAATCGAATGTTGTCATTAAACACGTGAATGGATATTCATATATCTTTATTCATATGATAATTTTCTGTTCATAATGTTAGTAAGAGAATTTATAATACTATTTTTATCCATGAAATTAAAGACAATTATTTTTATTAAAAAATCTAAACATTCATTAGGACACACATCAGTTTTGCCTTCCTTTGTACAACGGTTCGACAATGGATAATCTTCTGTAATTCTTATAGTGCGTTACTTTCATAGTATCCTTTTTGTTGTATGTTTTAATCTAAAAAGGGTTATTACATTTCCCTCCGTGTTTATGTTCAAGAACTGGACAAAACTGATGTCTGTGATAATGTCTTATTATTATTATTATTATTATTATTATTATTATTATTATTATTTAAATAACTGTCTTTAATTTCATGGGATCAAAATCGTATTCCACATTTGACATTTGCCTCTGGTTGCATCCTGTGTATGTTTAGTAAAATTAAAAACAACCACTCCTTGCTAACGAGCGAACCATCGACCTGCGCTTGATGTGGGTTGTGTCTACTGTTGCAGGTATGGGGAAGTGAGGAACGCTATGTACACCATCGTCAACGGGATGGCCAGCCGTATAACCGACACTTCCCAAAAGGATCAGGTAAAGCCCTCCTTGCAGAGCTCCCTTGGCGATAAACTTACAAAGCGGCACACAGGTTACAAGGCACTGTCGTGAAGATGGTCTTTAATGTCGATTCAAATTCGATAATGCCAAGAGGCCTGCTCCCCCGTCTGACCTCGCAAATTTCTCTTTCTTTCGCCATCTACCGGAGATAGGAGGCATCTCTCGGGAGACGAATTTATTTCAGAGGCTTCTTTTAGGTTTGAGGATCTTTTACATGCAGTAAATCTACACCATGGGATAGCCGGGTTTATTGCCCATCCTAAGAAACGCGTACGAATATTTTTTCGCCCTTAAAGATCTACGGCGTCGGTCAGGTTTGAACCCGCGATCTTTGGTAATAGTCCGATTCGCTAACCATTATACCACCGATGCTCCAATCGCTGTATTTGTTATCGTATCAATGGTAATGTTGGAAGAAAACGCGTAATACAAATCGCGGGAATGGCAGACCGAGCAAGACCTTCGGCTAAGCAGGGTCTCTAAAGTTACTTGCAGCTCCCTCTCGAGCGCGGACTTATTATTTAAATGTCGGTTTCATTTCGTGAGGATGTCCCACCTCAAACCTTTAACGTTACTCGAAATTGATTTTGAGTTGTTTATCTATAACAGCTGTCGTGCATTAAAATAAAATATTTACATTAAAACCCCCAATGTTAATAAACAGTTTTTAGGGTAATATAATTAAATGCAAGATGAAAAAATATAGCAGCCGAGATATGAACCAAAAACATCCAGCGAATATTATTACTATTATTATTATTATTATACATTACGACTTAATATGTTACGAGTTGGCTAAATATGAAATCTACTCCAGGATTCAACCAGACCCCTTTGGAGCAAATCTAGGGACTGTCGGTGCCCCTACAATACTTCGCGCAAAATATGGGCTAATACAAATAAAACAATTTCTTGCACTTTTGTACGACCTGGGAGTTTAGCAAAGTTCTTACACAATTTTTGAGGCACAAATTCCAAGACTCTGATGTCTATTGGTTACGTCCCACATTCGGCTGATCTCGATTTATAAACTCTTGTAGTTAAGATGTTTTTCTGACTCCTTGATTACGTTCTGGTCGCAAGACACAGCCACATCTACAAGTAGACACGACGTTTTCTCCAAATCCTGGATAACAATATCAGTTTTTTTGCCGCTATCGTGCGAATTTTTTGGCCGTTTAATTTTGTACACAATCCAACAGACATTACTGGTTTTGATGAGTGTTCATACCACTTGGCGCATGTTTTTGGAACTTCGAGGGCGGTACAGATCCTGCCAGTGGAAGTCTCTACACCCCTGTTGTGTCTTTTCAAATATTTGGTCTTTGCTAGAATTGAACAAGATTAGATGATTTGATCACTGGTTTCTACTCGTACATGGTAAATACGGCCTTTATCATCTTGACAGATTTTGAAAACCTCTTTACCACAATGTCGTGTTCTCAACGCCTGATCTTGGGCAGCCATTAGAACAGCTTCCTAAGTTGTTATGTTGTTAATTTTCCATTGTTCTGCTGAGTATGTATCGTCGTTGGCTGACTTCTTTGAAGCTAGGGTAGGTCTCATATCTGGGTTCCGCTTTCTTCATATCTTGAAAACTTCTATTTCCAAACCCCCGTTTTCGCTTTTGCATTGTAAAAGCAGTACATCACTTTCAGTTGATCCCTTGACCACCTGTAGCTTCGAGCTACTGCCGACTCTGGTTCCCTGGGATTAATATCTATGGAATGACCAGACATCGTCAAGGTGACATTAGCTCGGCTTCTAGCATGTATGGGAAATTGGTAGAACAAGGAAAGTTGAGATTTATTCATTTCTTGTTTCATCCATTTTGCTTATTGATCATAAGAGAAATTTCCCCAGAAACAAGTTGGAGTTCACAGATCACACTTAACCCATGGGTTATTTCCTGTCGTCCGTTGCTCCGACCCAGAGTGGCTTCGGGACATCCCCTGCAGGCCCAGCAAGGGCCCCTCCGATCGCCAGTCCGCATTAGTCAACCCTTCGGGATTTTCGGGCCTCCACTTTAATCAGTCGCATGGCCTGCCAACCTAGTTTCTCTCCTATATCCGCAATGGACCGATAACAGGATGGTTCATGATCCTTCCCTCTCTCCTTACTTCTCGCTGTGGGTGCAGACGCTGCAGCCGCCCGCTGCGGATCAGACGCTGCGGTTGGGTTCGAGGTGCCCCTTCCGCCGTCTTCATCTATCTTCCTTTTTTACTTTCTCGATTTCCTAACGTAAGAAGAGAAAGTATTGTAATCGTGTGCCGGAAAACGGCGAATTTACGACACAAAATTGCCTTGTCAGGAAAAAGTGGATAAATTCAATTGCTAAATATAGAAACAAAATTTTTCTAACACATGGTACAGTCAAAATCCATGTTTTGTTTGTCCTTGATCCCGAAAATTCGATTGATAACAAAATGTCTGCCTGTCCCTCCGTCTCTGCACAACGCTAGCGCATAAACCGTTCAGCCGATACTCTCCAAAATTGATATTCCCCACCAGCCCCTAAAGTTTGAAACCTATTTTTAATTTTGGGGACATTTGACTGTAGGTCTTGAGAAAAAAATGCCTTCCAATTATTGGATTAAATTTTGTAGTTGAATACGGCAAAAGGCGTTAAGACAATGGTACAGGTCTCTTTTTCGTTAACGACTTTTCGAAATTGGAAAAAAAGTTTTAAAACTTCAAAATTGGAGAATTTTGTGTTAGTTAATGTCTGTTGTACAAAATTAGCTCTTTAAAAAAGGCTATGTACAATTTGTTAAAATAGTTTTTGCATAATTTCCGATTGACATTTCCCCCAAAAAAAACCGCTCCAATTTCTTTTCTTTAAATTTTCTTCACCTTGTAATAAGAGACGATAAAAATCGATGATAGTCACATTTTCGGATAGTGTTCAGATTTTTTAAAATTAAAAAAGATCTTTCAAAACTACGAAATTGACGTTGGAGATTTTGGCCTCACACAAAGTCTGTTGTACAATATTAACTCTTCAGAAAAGGTCACGCACAAGTTTGAAATAACAAGCAATTTTTGCGTATTTGGCGGTTGAATTTAAAAAAAAACATTCCCCAAACATTTTTCTTT